TATATATATATACAGATATATATAGTGTTCAGACGAAGGGATTCAACGCTTTGTTATAACATCTGGATTTTTCATATCCATTAAGCTTTTCTCGATAACCTCATTATTAATTTTCCAACTGTCATCCATGACATATCAATTAGATCCACATAAAGATGAATTAATTTAATCGATGATCAAGGGTGATTTCAGCACATCTGATGATAATTGCGTGACTTGATGTTAACGAAATTTTTTTTTCAATCAAATCATTTTTATACATCAATCTCGTTTCGTTTTTCACACCGATCAGCCTTTACCTCTATTATGTCAATGCGCTGAAAGCGCTATCAAACGTTTCCAAATTTCTGTATTTTTGCACCGTACCTTACATATGCAACGGTGCTGCCATCGCGCGGCAGAAACAAGGGGGCGTATCACACAGGGATGCGAGAGCATGCGAAGGGTGCATCGTATCGTGTTAAGTGAGTCGGCGTGATCACGGGACGGAAGTAGGATCGCGTCTCGACATCAGTGTCATCGTTGTCGCGCGCATTTCTCCTCCTTCGTCAGAACCACTCTTGGTCATCTTGATGAATTTCCGGCTATTTTGTCCTCGAACGCGCAGCTCAACTCCTTCCGAAATTTAGATGAGTGGCATGTGCGGGCTAGAGTGAAAGAGACAAATAAATCAGTCAATAGTGACGCGTGCATGAGGTCGGGCAAGCCGGCGTGCCGGGTTCCGTCCCGGCTACGCGGCGGAACCTCTTTAGGCCCTTCGTCGTGGTCATTTTTGCTGCGTTCGCAGAACGCATCACGGATCGGTGATAGAATCGAGAGGAACAGGAACCGTGAGTCGACGCTGACCGAGAGCGAGCGAAAGGTGCGCGGAATCGTCGGCAGGTGCAGTCACGGAGATCAGAGAGGTGGAGTCATCGCAGGCGGCGATCATCGCGAGTTTGAATGGGTGGGCCGGGCGCCGGTAGAGTTACCAGGCATGAGCTGAACGCGGTGCCCCAGAGCCACGTCGGTCACGGGGAACGTGCCCTTGGTGAGCCACCAGCACCAGGCTGCCGTTGTCATCCTCCGGAGCGATCATCTGGCAGCACCATCCGCTCCGCCCAGCAGCTGCCACCCTCGCCGCCGCCGCTCACTTCTCTGCATATCGGCAGCAACAACGGCACTATCTGTGCCATCATCAGCGGTAATAACAACTCCGCTATCACCACGAATCCGAGCGACGGTAAAGCCAAAAAGGCGGCCGCCATGTCTTCGCCGCCGAAACATCGCAGGGGCTTCGACCCCAATGACCCGACGGAATTTCACCGCTATCGTCGCGTTAAGACGAAGCAGCGGTGAGTGTATTCGCCTGTGATATCGATTGTTTCTCTTTCGATCCATTGGAAGGCTGACATTGACAACCGGCTGATATATCATGCCTAATCTATTCCTTTCATATTTTGCTAAGTATATATATATATATATGTGTGCGTGCGTGCGTGCGGCGTGCGTGCGTGCGTGCGTGCGGCGTGCGTGCGTGCGTGCGGCGTGTGTGCGTGTGTGTGTGCGTGTGTGTGTGCGTGTGTGTGTGCGTGTGTGTGTGCGTGTGTGTGCGGTGCGTGTGTGTGCGGTGCGTGTGTGTGCGTGTGTGCGTGCGTGCGTGCGAGCGTGTGTGTGCGTGTGTACACACACACGCACACACACACACACACACACGCACACACGCACATATATATATATATACATACACATTTATTTCCTCTATCCTTCCAATTACTATTCAAGTTACGAATTGACTTTATCTTTCATTTCTTCGTTTTTAATATTCATGTGTATACCAGTAAGTCAATTTTTAGAATTTTTTATTTTTTTAGAATTTATAAATATTTATAAAATTTACCTTCACGAGCAGTTTTCTTTTTTATATTAATTTTTACGCATCTTTTTTTTTCTTAATGTAAATTTTTACAATCTTCATTCTCTTAATCTTCTGGATATATGTATAATTCAATTATTTATTTACCTCTTACAATAAAATACGAGCGAAACTGTGTTTTTTTTGTTCTATTTGTAACCAATCCTTTCAGGAATGCCGGTTCAATCGAGGAACTGTCCGCGTCGATGTGGAACAGTCAAATCCAATATCCTTCCTCTTCTCTTTCCGTGCGATCCATCGAGTATTCATCATGACTTGGAATAGAAATGCGGTATTCCCATGTCGAAATATTATAGGAAAATACGGTTATACGCGTTCGTGTGACTCAAATATATTTATAATATGTCGATCCAATATCTCTTACCAGTCATAGTTGTATGCTAATACGTGCGTGTATCTTTTTCCTTTCATTTTCGATTAGATGAAATAAATCAGCTGTGTGTAACAAGTTCTGATATATAATTATGAAAAAACGATAGATCGCAGGGATTGAAGCATGATTAAGTAATCTTAATTCCATTCTCTCTTCCTGTTCTCCTTAATTTTTTGGCGTTTCCTTTGTTCTTGTCACGCAGCTTCCATTGATGCTGAATGCACAATGTTCACAGAGGCTTTGTATGTCCCACATCGTGTGACCTTCGGCGATGGACACAGACCTCCCCGAGATCCCTCGACACATCCACCAGCACAAGGCATTATAAAACACACACAAGCTTGCGATGTTCGATGTTGGACCGCTTACTGGTTGTACCCCCGCCGCTACAACGCGACGAAAGTACGATCACATGATCAAAAATATACAGTATTCTCCGAAAATAAATTCAGCGAAATCCTTCTTGAAGCACATTATAATACTAGCATGATAATATCATATTAAGGAGCGATATTCTGGATCTAATGTGTAAAATATAGTATATGAATATGTAAAATAAATGAACTAATGTACATAGATGTAATATAGAAACGATATATATAAAATATTAGAGATCAGATACAAAAAATAAATAGAGAATATACAAAATAATGTAATTGAGTTGATTTATAGAGAATTATGAAGCTGATAACTGAGTATCAACTTAATCTATACTGGGCATCCTTTTCATATATATATATATTATTTGATTGATATACAAAAAGGAGAAATAAAGTATAGAAATAAAGAAAGAAATCAAGTATATCTTATACATAAAATATCGAAATAATAATAAAATTAAAAATCAAAATTATAATTCAATAAAATCGTTCATCGTGTCTTGATCAGAGCTTGGAATGTGCTGCGGAATGAAATGGAGACATTTGCACCTTGAGCGAAAAAGCTTTTACGCACTGTCAAGTTATCAATGTCTTGGTGCGATGCTGCGTTTTGCAGCGAACAGTTCATGAAATATTTTGCTTATATCAACTCCGAAAGAAGTTGGCTTCTGCTTGAAGATACACGAGGAAACACCGAGGAAAAATAAAATGCTCTCATCAACCATCTGCCACCCCTTTTTTATTGCTCATGCTATAAAAATAACCTGCCATCCTTTATTAAATTTTATGTTTCAGCTAGTTTGCCAGCGTATTTGAAACTGATAATTGGTTAATTTATTAATTGAATCAAGTATAAAGGTGCAATAAAAATATATCATATGCACGAAATTATTTTATTTTTATGTCTTTGATCATTTAGGATTCGAGTCAACATTAAATATTTCCTTTATATGTATATAAACAATTGCTTCTTCAATTATTTTATTAATTTGAAGGCATCAATGGTGCGTTATTCGTTCCAAGCATACGTTTGCACTGCGAGAACGCGCATGCCTTATCCTACCGAAAGTTTGCACGTGAAATGTAACAAAATGATATTGGTGCAAATATAACTATTTGCGCGAGTATGCTTTGCAAAATTATCGAAAAAACTTATCACATTGTGATAAGTTTTTACTTATCACATTTTTTAATATTAATAAGACACTATGGTAAGAATAAAATAAAGATACAAGAGATATATTACAAGCTTTATTTTAAATGTCAACTTAATTTCTTATGTTCTCGCAATATACATAATATATATTATATAAAAATAATTTATAATTTTGCTTAGAAACAACTATATTGAGATGCTTACATCTCTTTATCGAGATTCAAGTAAGAAAAAAAATTAATCTATTCTTTGAGAATTCACTCTGATCCTTTTAGATTTCTTTTTAGAAATCGTTAAATGCAAATCATGTAAAATACAAATAAAGAAAAAAAAATAGAAAATACGTAAAAAATATATTCAAAGTTTGTTGGAAATTTTTTCCTTGTGCTAATTCTAAGGTCTTTTTATCATATTAAAAATAAAATAGTTCTAGATAATATCACCTCTCTTTATGAGAAAAAATTATCACAAATTATTTCTAATATTGACTTTTTTATTGTTTAGTATACATAAAAATTAGATGTAAAATATAATTGATATAGATTGAAAGAGTTTAAGTTTGCACTTTGAATATGACATTACATTTTAGAATTTATATATACATATATATATATATTATATGTGTGTGTGTATTGTATAATAGGTGTACAACTTTGCTTCCGCCGTTTTTTTTTCCGAAATTCGAGGCTTTATTGTAAAAAACTGGTTATACATTTATGATTCAAAGTATTGTCCGTCGCTGGTCACTACTTTCTCCCATCTTTCGGGTAGCGTACGAATCCCGCGTCGAAAAAATTGGTCATCTTTTGAGGCTACCCACGAATCGATCCAATTTTTTACTTCTTCATAAGACCGGAAGTGCTGGTCAGCCAGGCCGTGTGCCATTGATTGAAACAAGTGATAGTCAGAGGGAGCAACGTCTGGAGAATACGGCGGGTGGGGTAGGACTTCCCATTTCAACGTTTCCATATGTCTTGACACTTTCGCAACATGGGATCGAGCATTGTCATGCAAAATCATTTTATCGTGTCTCTCGTTGTATTGCGGCCGTTTGTCTTTCAATGCTCGGCTCAAATGCATCAATTGCGTTCGATACCGATCGCCTGTGATTATTTCAGTCGGTTTTAACAATTCATAATACACTACGCCGGGCTGGTCCCACCAAATACAGAGCATGACCTTGGACGTCAAAATCACCGTTCTTGAAGCATTGAAACCACTCACACGTTCTTTCACTAATAGCGGCCTCACCATAAGTATTTGAGAGCATTCGATGTTCTCAGCCGCAGATTTCTTCATACTGAAGCAAAAAATTAAAACCTCCCGCAAATGACGAGAATTTGACTCGTAAACTGACATTTTCAATCGAGAATAACTTTATGATGCAGACACAAATCGACTAATGTTGGGGTTATGTTGACAGATGCCCAAGTTTATTGTATGACGTCTATGATCTATTTATTTCGACCACCACTTACTGCTAAAGCCTATAGGAAAGCTCTATAGGAAAACGGCGGAAGCAAAATTGTACACCTAATACATATATAAATGGAAGATTATTGCTAGATAAAGCATGAGATTTTCATTCGTCAAAAAATTCTAGAAATCTATTTTTTCGCGGAAAATTATAAAATATATATTCTTATTTTAATATAAAAAAAACCTTGAACGTTTTTTCTCAAAACAATAAGTTATGTACATTTTCGTTTCGTAATTACATTAGTAGAGTTGATATGAAAACAGTCACTTGATTGTGTAACAATCAAAAACAAGATTTATGCAATTTATGCTTTATAACTTCAAGGAAACTGTTCATGAAAACAAATAAGTTTGTCAATATAAACGTGTCAGATAGGTATTTTGAAGCTGCGTAAGTTTTTCCAATGTTTTGCTCTTTTCAAGATTATTAAAATCTACAAATCTGTTGAAGTTTGCATATAAGAGACGTAAGTTCAATGAATTTTAAATTTGATCCAGTACTACATGCTTCAATTTAACATTATGCTGATATTTGTTTATATTTTACTTATTCACATGCAGTTATATAAATGTTTAAATTAGAATAACATTATTTAATTTCACTGAATTTCCATTAAAGAATTAATATAATATGTTCTTTTTTTATATTACGTATCGTTAAATTTCTCGTATTTCTATTGTATCATATCATGATTATTCCAATGGACAATTTTTTTCGCTTTTTATATCCTTTATGTATATTCTTTATATCTATCAATACGTAAATCTTACGCGCAAGTTTCCACTTGAATTTGAAGCAAAAGAAATAATCATTCATTTTACATTTTAGTACATTTGTTAACTATATTTATTTATTTATTTATTATTAAATTTATTATTAAATTTATTATTAAATTTATTGTTTTAATAGATTC